CTAAAAGGCTAGGAGAGGCCTCGGAAGAAAACAAGCCTGCCAACACCTTGATTTCAGACTTCTAGTTTCCAGAACTGTGAGAACATAAATTTCTGTCATTCTCTTCCACTTGCCAGCTCTATAACCTTGGAAAATTAATTCCATCTCTCTGAGAGCTGTAAAATAAGGCTACCTCATAGGCTTGCTATGAGGAATAAATGGAAAATGGTTGTAAAGCCTTTAGCACAGTGCCTTGCATACAGTAAAAGCTCATTCATGTTAGCTATTGTTATTAATACTATAAGGTGGTTGGTCTCAAACAGGGACTCTTAAAAATTCAGGGGATAAATATTACATCTGTATTTTCACCAGCTTCTAAGTAAAATTTAGATTTCCTTCCATTATAAATGCATAGAACAGATCACAGTAATATTAGCAGTACCTGTGAGTTTGTCACCAGTAGAAATCATAGTTTTATGTCACATTACTGTTATTAGCAGTGCATTTAAATATTTTTACACCCATCATTATTTTGAAGTTACCATGGTTATCAGAGATGCATCCAGATCTGGTTACTTACTACATTAATGACAAGTACTTACAACTACGTAACAATTTTCTATTTTTAATATTTTGATAACTGCATTTCAATACAACTTATTTCCTTTGTAATCCTATGTATTTTATTTTATGAATCTAAAAACACTGTTCTGGGAGGAGGGTACAGATCAGTGGTAGAGTGTGTGCCAGGCATGCACGAGGTCCTGGGTTCAACCCCTAATACCTCCATTAAAAAATAAATACATAAATCTAATCACCTCTCCCCCCTCACCAAAAAAAATAAAGTGATGTTATACAAAAGAAAAAGAAAAAAATTTTAAAAATTGTTCTGACAGGGGGTCTATAGGCTTTATTATTTTTTCAAATGGGTCCTTAGCACAAAAAGGGTTAAGGACCCCTCCACTAGCAGGTTTTAAACTCTTACCAGATATGGCAGTCTACAAACCTGTGAACAATTATGAAAAGTTTCAGGAAGGATAGTCTGCTTTCCCCGTTAAGAAAGGTTAACGAAATTGAGTATCAGTGGTAGGGAAATGGGCTTGCCTAAAAATTACTGTTGAATCTAATTAGACTGTAAGTGCTTAGAAGGCAGCTTCCTATTCTCTAGAAACAGCCTCTCAGTGCCTTGCTTTCCTCATCTCTTAAGTGGGGGTGACTGTAGTATCTAACTCACAGGATTGTTGTGATAATTAAATTGGGTGATGCCACGTAAAGCACTTGCATAGTGCCTAGCACATGGTAGGTAGGTAATCAAAAATTCAGCTATTATAATATTAGTTATTATACCAGATTTGTCAATTTCCTTCCTGGTTCTCCACAGTATAAGTGAGTCATTAAATATATTAGGCAGTAAATCATTGATTGCACTTTTTTTTGGAGTATGCATTCTTGAAACAGATGATATGCTTTGTAAATGATGTCTGATAAAACCATCACTAAAGAGTCACCTAATGGTTAAAGACATGAGCTTTGAAGTCAGAAAGCGGTGGGCTCAAACCTGAATGCTACTACTTCCTACTTATGTGACATGAGAACTTCTTTAACTTTCCCAAGCCCATCCCATCACTGGAATCATAGTAGCTACTTCATCGGATTGTTGTGAGGATTAAATGAGATGAGTTATGTGAAATGTACAGCTCTTAGCCTGACCTCATTTATAATAATTGCTAAATGAATGGCAAACTTGTGAAGTGGGAGGATTTCCTTAACGTTTCACACGAGGTCCCCTGAGACCTGGTCCCTAAATCCCTTTCCAGCCTTGACGGTCATCTCTCACATCTTATTCTTCAGTAACACCAACCTGCTTTGTAATCCACACTCAGCCCCCAGCATACATACTGCAGTTCTCACCTCCAGGCCTCTGTTCTCTCCTCTCTCCCATCCCTCCTTTCAGGGCTGACACCTCCTCCGCAGTGCCATAGCAGTGCTCCACACACACACACCCGGCCTCCATCATCACTTCCCATGTGTACTGTTTTTGTCTGTTTATGTATCTGTTTTTCCAACTAGACCATGAATTTTTGGGGGGCTTGGGCTGTGTCTTATTTACCTCTGAGTCCCCACTCACCCTGTACTTGGCACAGGGCAAGTGGAGAGTAGGTGACAGTTTATGATTCCATCTGAGAAAGTGGTATCCCTCCCCCTGCCGCATTTCTACTTCACCCAGAAAGCCACCAGCTTTGTCTAGAAGTGGCGCCCCCCTCTTCTCTCTGCATTTATACAAGAACATTTTGCTACTTGGAGTCTCTCCATCCAACATAACGTATGTTAGCAAAACAAGGCTTCACAGAGAGGAGCCAAGGAGGCCCTGCCCAGTCAGCCTTCTGGGGAAGGTATGCTATATGTTAATATAAGCTGGACTTGTATGCAAACACACAACCACCTTCTGAACTCTATCTCTGAACTATCTCAATGTTCCTATATCTAAGTTATATTTGCTCTTGATCAGCCTGGATACAGTATGCAAAGCTGTACTGAATTATTAATGATACTGCTTGCGAGCAAGGACTACAACAAGGGAAATGTCAAGGGGACAAAATCTGGAGTTCAATGGTACCAAATGCCAAGAAGGAAATACTTCCACCAGGGCCTCGTCCCAAGGTTATGCACAAAGATAAGAGGACTCAGGCAAGTGTAGAAGCAAAAGGCCCCAGCAGTTTTCAAAACACGACTTAAGTAAACATTTATGGAGCTAATATATTTTGGTATAATGTTTAACATAAAATAATTACAAACAAGAGGGAAAATCATAAACACTGTAATTAAAAAACAATTCAGTAGGCTATAAGTCTACACAATGCATATGAAATTTCATATTCTACTATCTCCTCTGGCTTTTACCCAAGAGCATTAAAAAAAAAAGACAACAATGAAGAAGAAAGGGGGAAATTAACCCATAGAAAAGACTGGCTTTTTAGAGAACAAACAGCATCTTCAGCAGTCTGTGGGAACACAGGGACTGTACTCTCAGCTTTCCTGGTCTGGTCAGTGACCTCCCAACATCTCTTTCATCTCTGATTTTGGGATCATGTCAGGAGCCAGGGACAGATCTTGTTTGGGGTTTTCTGTTCCCTACAGCAGAGAGAGTACTGCCCTCCCTCCATTTCAGAAATTGCCAGGCCCCATATAAGATCCATAGGGACTTGGAAACAGGAGTTTGTTTGCTGCCCTTTGCTCCCAATCACCAGCCGATGCTTGTGACATATGGAGGGAATTTCAAATCTATGACAGCCCGATCTACAGGCACTCGCGCAAGTGGAGCTCCACTAGAAAGAGGGTGGCTTTGCCCTGATGGCGTTCTGGCGTACAGCTTGGCTATGGGGCCTTCCTAGTGAAGATGTGCCTTCTCTTTCCTCCTGCTCTCAGGATCAGTGCAGTGTGAATTCCACTAGGAGGCACCCCTGGTGTCTGTGCAAGATCTAACTGACTAAAGCAGGAAATGTTCCACGCCTTAAACACAAGGTGGCAGTATATGCTGCTCTATTGCAAGGGCCATGGGCTTGTGAAAGAAACGAGCTGAAGGGGGGTGGGGAGTGCTGACAGTAACTGAAATCTATTTGAGTTTTCAGTGAAAACTGAACATCATGAATATTTTGAATTTTTTCAGGAACTAATAATTATTGAATCATAGGCATTCAAAGTATTCCAAGTCTTTAAGTCTTGAAATACCCCAGAACCCTACCACTTGCCCACCCAGCGCATCCCTACAACTCACAGAGCTGGGGTTTGACCCAGGGCACCAACCCGCTGTGCTCTCCACAAATCTGCCCTTTCACCTCAGCTCAGCTCCAGAGTCACTTTCTCCTCAGAGTCAAGAACCCCTCAGACCAAAGTTTCAGGATCCCCCTCCCTCAGTGCCTGTGAACATCAATAACCACACCTCTTGAAAGGGTAAAGACAGAGATCACCTAAGGTGGCAGGTGGAGATCAGAAAAGAGGGGGGAGAGCAAGTTTGGAAAAATAAGTGAAGATATGGGGAGTGAGGAAGAAGGGAGAAAGCAGGAGAAAGCGGCAGTGAGGGAAGCGAAGGAAAAATATAATGAAGAAAAAGAGGGGGGAAGAAAGAAGCCAAGGGAAGAAAAAGAGGAATGGTAGAGAAAAGGGGCAAAGGAGGAAATACAGAAAAGGAGGAAAAGAAATAAGACAGGAGGTAAGAAAGAAAGAGAAAAGTGAGTCAAGAAAGGAGAAAAAAAAGGAAAAGAAAAATAAATGAGAGAAAGAATGGGAGAAGACGCGCGGAGAAGGAAGGCGGGGGGAGGGTGTGCCAGGGGGTGCAAATTGAGAAAAGAGAGGGAGCGGGTGCAACGGGAGGCGGCAAGCCTGCTGAGGAGCTGGCATTCCCGGAAACCGGGACAGAGATCGGGTCAGATGGGGTTCAGGGAAGAGAGGGGAGAGCAAGTGGGGAGAGAGGGGACGATGAGTGGAAGGAGAAGAAGGGGACAAAACCCGAGGGGCGTTGGAGCGTGCTTCTGTGAGTTTTGTTTGGGACCCGTCTTGGGTCCTCCGGCTGCGCGCCAGGAGCTCTAACTCGCCTCTGGGGTAACCGCTCTCCCTGCTCTCCCCTCCCCTCCCCTGCGTCTCGAAGGCAGCGTCTCTCCTGTAGGGGGACCCGTCCGCGGTGACACGAGGCAGGTCGGCCCTCCTGCCGAGCTCGATACCCGGGTGGCGCGGTGGCCCCGGTCGGCGGTTCTCAGGGATTTCTGGCCGAGGATGCGCCAGGAGCGGCGACAGAGCCCGAGTCCAGGGCGTGCGGAGGAAGGGAGAGCCGGGCCGGGCTGCCGGGAGCGCGGGCTAGGGTGCGAGCTGCCTTGCGGGGAGCGGGGGCGCGAGGGTGCGGGAGGGGGCGGGGCGGCGGGATGGAGGGCGGGGGCAGCACCGCGCCGGCTCCCGGGCGCGCGCCGGGGAGGCGGCGGACCCGCGTGGTCCGCCGGCCCCCCCGGGGGTCATTTGCATGCTGTCACGGCCCCGCGCCGACTCCCGGGGCGCGCGGCTCGCCCGTTCGCTCACTTGCGCTCGGCTCCTGCCACCGCTTCGGCGGCGCAGCCCCGGGGAGTCCGCGAGCGGGCAAGCCAGCGAGCGGGAGAGGGAGGGAGGAAGCCCGGGAGGGAGGGAGCGAGGGCGCGCCCCGGCTCTCCCTCTGCCCCGCCGCCCGCCCTTCCTGCTGCCACAGGTCCGCCCTGGGCCCCGCTCTCACTTGGGAAACTTGGGACGGCGTTGGGGCCGCGTGTGGCACCTCAGGGGGGCGGCCCCGGCCTCGAGAGGAGGAGGAGGGGGGAGAGGAGGAGGAAGAGGAGGAAGTGAGCCCGAAGGATCCGCTCAGAGCTGTTTGTCCAGCTGTTGCTCTTCGCACCCCGAGCTGCGCAGCCAGAAGGGGGACGAGTGGAGGACAGCCGGCTTTCCGCGCTCATTTCCAACTCTTCTCACAGCTTGTCTTTCCCAGACACCGTGGAGTCCCCTCAGGCCACCCCGGCGGGCGCGCACCTGCCGGCCGCCCCTGACCTCGAAGGCCAGGCGGCCCCCGAGGCAGAGAAGATGGCCCGGCCCAAGACCGACTGCCGATCACCTGTCGGCCTCGACTGCTGCAACTGCTGCCTGGACCTGGCCCACCGGAGCGGGCTCCAGCGCGACAGCAGCGGGGACAACAACAACCCGGGCAGCCCCACTGTGAGCAACTTTCGGCAGCTGCAAGAGAAGCTGATCTTTGAGAACCTCAATACCGACAAGCTCAACAGCATAATGCGGCAGGATTCGCTAGAGCCCGTGCTGCGGGACCCCTGCTACCTAGTCAACGAGGGCATCTGCAACCGCAACATCGACCAGACCATGCTCTCCATCCTGCTCTTCTTCCACAGGTGGGTGACGGGGAATACGGGGGGGGGGCACGGTCCGGGCTGGCACCCGCCTCTGCTGGACCCTCACCTCTGACAGAAGAGGCAGCCAGGAAGTCCACGAGGGGCGCTGAGGGGGTCGGGCTAACGGGCTGCCCTGACCAGACCCCCGAGGCTACCTGGACTCCCGTGCGGCTAAGGGGAGGCCTGGCAGGTGGGAGCCCTGTTTTGAAAGGTGCCTGCAGACCCTTTCCTCGGGAGATGCTGGAGCCCTAGATGGTTTGAGGGTAGCTGGCGACACTTTCTTCCCAAATGCCTGCATTTCTACAGCCACTTTGGATATTCTGCCGCGGGGTGCTCAAGGGGATCTGAGCATCTGAGGTCCTCCCTTATCAAAAGCCCGTTTCTAAATATGCAAACTATCAATGAAACAGCAAAGGTTTTTAAATTACTGAGTGGCCCTGACTGACAGGGAGGGCAAGCAAAATGTCAAGACAAGTTAAGCTGCTGTTGGGGCTGGGGGAAGATGGGGAATAAGGAAAATCTGAGACCTGAGAGAATTTATCGAAACTCTCCAAGGGGGGACACCTCCTCCACGGATCACAGCCTTCAATTTGGAGTGGTGGCTAAAAGCAGCTCCAAAGAGCATCCTAGGAAAGGAGGATGGATGAATCCATGTCCTCTCAGGCGTGTGTTGGAGTGCAGGTCAGACTTTCTAGAAATCCTGCTGAAGGGCAAGGAGGGCAGTGGGAAGGGGAGAAACATAGTGGGAAGACCCAAGGTGGCTGCTGTCCTCTAGTCTGAGACACTCTGGTAAGAGCCGGTCTTAGGGGAACAACCGAGGCAATTTTGAGGCAAGGGAAACTTCAGGAAACCTAGCTGTGTATTTGGTGTTCTTAGAGCCACAGGGACAGGGCACTGTTGTGTGTGTGTGCACGTGCGTGGGTGAATTTTACTCTTTCTCAATGTTGCAGCTTATGTAAGAGAAAAAACTTGCTGTGGGAGACCTGGGTTGTAGTACAAGTTATGACTACTTCCCTGTGTGAGCCTGAGCAAATTGCCTGATCTCTCTGGGCTCTAAGGTTCCTTCTAGTTCTGAGATTCCAGGTCGTGGGCAGGTAATGTGCTCAGACAAGGTAATAAGAAATTTTGAGCTCCCACAGAATATTTGAATAATTGGATGGCTTTTCAGTGAGGCACAAATAGGACATTTTAAAAGCCATCAAGCTAGGCAGGCACTGCCCTCACTTAGTGCTCAGCCCAGGTTCGCCTCCTTAGCCCCAGAAGTTCCAGGAGGAGACAAGCAGGGCTGCCGAATTTGTTAGCATTATTATAACAAGTTGTATTTCCAGCCATTTTCCACACCATTGAAGCCCTTTCTCATCTATTATTTCACTTCAGGCATCAATTTATCTCATTGCCTCCATGAAAGCAGGCCGCATATGTAACAGGTTTCAAGGGAATCTTCATTTCTGATGAAAGATTACTGCAAGCGTATTCAAACCACAGCCGCTGCAACCCTGCAGAGTAAAGCCCTACCAGGCTCCTAATAAGCCACTAGGCTTGTAGGCTGCAGGGAAGGAGTGGTGACGACACCTGGAAACAGCACCCCCGTAGCACTTGCAGTCTTTCAGCTGGGACTGAAACTGCTCCGAAATGGCCTGATGACAGGTACATAAGAGGGGATGCCTCCTCAGCTCTGTTCCTAGGTTGGGGGCCTAGGAGGGTCAGATCTAGGTGAGTGAGGTGTGAGGCTGAGAGCTTGAGGTCAGAGTTTTCGCTTGTGCCACACCTGGTGAGGCTTCCTGGTGGTCTGGGTTTCTTGAGTGGCAAGACCTCCTTTGTCACCTACTCCACTGATACCTGTCTATTGACACTTGGTTCTTGGCAAAGCCCAGAAATCCCACCAGGTTGGACAGGGGGCTGAGGGCCTTGGTGGAGGGAGCAGGGCATACTGTTGGGAGTTGTCTCTGTGCACACTGCCTCCTGGAATCAGGGCAACTTAATGTCCCAAACAGCTGAGCAGTGAACCAGCAAGTACTCAGGCTTCAATGAGGCTGGGGAATGACAAGGTCCTGTGGCAATAGCCTTAACAGTTCCAGCAGGACAAAGCATTCTCTCATTTGACTTTACAACAGGGACCTTAGAGATTGGGGATTCTGAATTCGGTTGAGGTTTTGCCTAGAATGACATCCTTATTAGCAAAGTAAGAGATTGCTGTTGCTGGTCACAGGGCTTCTCTAAAATCTGAACTGGACCGTCTTCTCCTGAGTGAAAATTTCCATTTCCTTTTCTTCATTTATTCCCTGGTTTTGTCTCTTCATACCTCAGCCATCATTTTTACTTCTGTTTCATTTAATGAGTTGATATTTCAAATGCCACCATTTTTTACTTCTATTTCATTTAATGATTTGGTATTTCCAATTCCTGCCTGGGTGTCTTTTTCCTCTAATTTGTCTACCTTCAAGGCCGTCTTTTCTGGAGAAGTGACTCTTCCCACCCCTCCTCCTGCAGCCCACCCCCTTGCTGCAAGGGATCCTATATTCTTGGGAGCAAGGGCGGGGCACATTCTTGATTTCTGTCTGGTTTGTCTGCTTTGACCTGTCCCTGGCTCCCAGCTTAGCTCTTGGTTTCCTTGGAACACAAGAGTGTATGCAATTTGAGAGGAGGGCATGTTTTATACTCACTTGGCTTTCTCTTGACTTCTAGTTATACAGTCAGTACTCAATAAAGGTTTTTTGACTGGATGATGGCTTAATTGTTGGTGTAGTCCTACGTAAAGATTTTACAACTTTAATTTAGTCTTGGAAAATTCTTATTAAGGTTCAAGTGTGATTTTTTTTTGGTGTGAACCCCATGCAGTAACTCTAATAGCAGAAGTCCTGATGGACAGTGCTGTATATATACATATAAATCAGTGTAATGGGCATGCAGCTCACTGGTATGTAAATAGTGCATCTAAATGATTGGGAGGAAGATGTGTTTTACATACCATCCTTTCAACTTTGTGTTAGGTAACTAATAACTATAATAGATTAATAGCTAACATCTATTAAGTGTTCCCAACATGTACTAAGCATTATATCTGCATAGCCTCATTTAATATTCACACCAACCCAAAGAAGTGGGCACTGTTATCACCATTCTTCATTTTTTGATGAAAGAAATTGAGGCTTGGGAAAGTTAAATAACTTACTCAATGCCTCACAATGAAGAGCAGAGCCAAGAATCCACCTAAGATCTGTCAGACACTAAAGAATTGTCTGTGAAGAAATAATTGTTAAGCAGAGGTAAATATTAGCCCAGAAACTAACCAGATGGTTAAAATGTCCTTATTAGGTGGGGTGGCCATCCAGTTCGGGGACATAGGGCTTTCAATGCTCAAACTGTCTCAGGGAAACTAGGATGGTTGGTCATCCTATTATTAGGAGACTATACCTAGACCGTATCTTTTGAAAATGCTTCTGAAACTGAAAAACTCAGGAGGCACATAGAACATGCTGGGCAAACAGCTAAAATTTCCAACTGAAATGTAGCCTATTAAAAACTTGCAAAATTGAAATATGAGGGGCCTTAATTCTCTGATCAGTAAGGTGCAGCAAGCTGGCATGGGAGCTTTGGCCATATTCTGTTGTTGTCACTGCTGTTGTAATGTCAAATTTATTTCTAAGATTGTATCCAAGCCTCCTTAGTCAGTTCTATTCTGCCTTGGGCCCCCAAACCCACCTGCCCAATGTGATCTGAGATATTCTGAATCTGAGTTCCCTTCCAACTCTGAAAGCCCTAGGAGTCTACCTTTAAGCTTCTGAGCTAGCAACAACTGGTCCCACACTTAGATCCTCAGAAAATAATAACAGCAAAGATTTTGAATTGTTTTATGTGTGCTAATTCATTTAATCTTCCCTATTGATTTGATATATAGTAGAAAGGGGAAAGATATAGATTCAGAGATCAGGCTTCCAAGAAAAATTTGCATGAAAATTATTTGTGCTTCTCTGTGTCTTTGAACTAAGATTTCATAAATGTATGTTCCTGCACCTGATTTCTGAGGATGTAGCCACTTACATGGTGTGATTTGAGGAGCAAAACTCTCCCACCTGCCTACTGTAGTGCCTAAATTCATACTGTAAGATCCATTCTCTGTCCCTAAACCATCTAAAACCTCTCTCCCATAGCACAGTGGTATGTGGACCACATTGTGAAAAATCCTGAGTTAGAGATTGCAACCGTTTGTCAACTAATTTGCCATTTGATTTTGAGGACGGAGTTCTTTGCAGTAGAGAGGTTTGGGTTTCTGTGTGCTTAAGTCTGTCATTCTTTGCCTTTGTGATTTTTGTTTTTGGTATCAAGCTTTGAAAGTCCTTCCCTAGCCCAAGGTAATTTAAAATAACTATTTCCCAAGTGCCTAGTGGTCTGACAAAGAATAAGCACTCTTGGATTAAGGCAGTTCTCTGTTGAAAAACACAAATGTGTTTGCAAACTTAACATTTCATGGTTTGTAGATCTCATGAGAACCTTGATATGTAAGAAATTGTCTTTTTGCTGACGCACAGATGTAAATTCCATGTGTTAAGAGGCTTTGGGCAGTGAGTGACCCTAGTGCTTTACCAGCATTTACTACATATATTACATATGTACATGTGTGTTTTATATATGTAAATAAAGTATATGTATATATTAGATATCTACATATATAATAGTAAAATATATATAACATGAAATTTGTCATTTTTAAATGTACAATTTAGTGGCATTAGGTATATTCACAGCATTGTGCAGCCATCATCATTATCCATTTCCAGAACTCCGTCATCATCCCAAACAGAATCTCTGTACCTATTAAATAATAACTCTCTATTGTCCCCTCCCCTAGCTCCTGGTAACCTCTATTCTACTTTCTGTCTCTATGAATTTGCCTATTCTAGGTATTTCGTATACGTGGAGTCATACAATATGTGGCCTTTTGTGTCTGGCTTCTTTCACTTAGCATAATGTTTTCAAGGTCCATCCATATAGCAGTACTT